AAGAATGAGGAGAATTGTTGTATTTTCTTGGTGGAATTTCTGTTAGGTTAGGTTAGGGTTAGGTTAGGTTAGGTTAGGTTAGGTTAGGAAGAATGAGGAGACATTCTTTGTGTATTTTTGTGCTGGAATTTGTTCTGAGACGAAGAGGTTGATGACACAAGGTTCTCTCAAGTGCTGCTCGTGGGTGGCCGCTGGAGGTCTGGCTTACCTCACTATGGCATCCTACTTGGTATTGTGGAGTGTCAGTTGTTCCTCGGGTCACTGTAATTATCCGAGACTTGTTCACTACTACATAGGTCAAGTGGACATGTATGAAACTGGTATTGGTAGATATTGTTGGGTGTATGGTGTTGGTAGGTGTTGTGGTTGGGTGGATGGGTGTGTGGTCAGTGAGGGTGTTGTAAAGCTATCTGGTGCAGCTGACCATCTCCGGTGCAGCTGACCATCTCCGCCTCTCTAAACCATTGTGCATAGAATCTCAGGTCTCATTAGTGTATACCAGTGTGTGTGTGTGTCTAGATAATGGTGTTTTTAGATATACACAGGAAGGCCAGTTAAGTGCCATGTCTTAGTCATTCTTCACTGTGAGTAGACATATAGACATTTAATTCTCACTATATGGTACACAGTCGCTGGTAGTGTTGACCCATATGTCTCACCACATTTTATGGGGTAATAAATCTAGAGGCACCGGCCGCTACCTAAGCAGCACCAGGACCACACAACCGACTCTTACTACACGACTATACCTAAGTTAATGATGAAATGAATTAAGAATAAATGTCACTAAATGGAAGGTTTATTACAAGATCGAGGTGAAAGTAAGGTAATACGTGTGGTGGAATATCACAAGGTAGGAGGTGTAGCCTTGGCTGTTTTTATTGGTGGTAATGGACAACAGTGAGGTAAAGCTCCACTTGATCCACTGGAGTATGTGATGGAGACACAGACGATAATATTACACCTGCTGTGCCAACCGAGTGCCTAACCCAATCAAGTAGATCATGTCAAGAAAAATGGTAGATTTAAGGTAACAATAATTTCGTTGCAGAAGCTGACGTCTTGTTGGGGACATTCCACCAAAACGTGCAACGCAATTGTGTCTCTTACTTCAGCCAAGACTTCAGGAACGTCTTGAAGAACCTCTCCTGTCAGCCTCTTGAATAAGTTTGCTCGTTCTTTCTTTCTCAGATTAATTCTTTTTCTCATTAACGGTGGACAGCTGAGGTGTTATTTTTTACCTGGGGTTATTTAATGCTTGGCGCTACTGTTGACCCTGATGCCCAAATTATAGCCAGGGTGAGTTTGATAAGGTTTCTAGATAGGTGTGGGGTGGCGTGGCGTGGGGTGGCGTGGCGTGGCGTGGGGTGGCGGGGCGTGGAGGTGGGTGTAAGGGGCGTCGTGTGGATGAGTGTTGGTGCTGGAGTCAGGTATTGGGGAGCGGCCTTTCCTCCACCCCTGGCCTCCTCCTTCACACACACACACACACACACACACACACACACACACACACTTCCACCCACCTTATACCCTCGTCATATTAACTACTGTGTATGACAAGAATTAGGACGATGACAACATGGCTACCAGGTGTAAAAGACAGTAATTTGGACACATTGGACGGCCATTAGGGTCACTGTCTACCGAATTAGTACAGAAGAAGGTGTCTAGTACCGTGTTTACATTAGGTACTGAAGTAGAATCGATCGCATCACGTGGAATACTTTTTATCTGTAGTTTTTTGTGGTATTTTAGATTACATACTCAATTTAATCTGTAATCAAGGTATTTTTACTGTATTTTCAATGTATTTGTCTCTTAAACATTACAGGGATTATGTAATTTGGGTACAGGATTTTCTCTCCTTGTTCATGTAATGCTGAATGTGGGTAATATATTCTCGTTGGGGTTTGGTTAGGTTAGGTTGTGTTACTGTAAGGTTAGTGTTTAAGTTACTGTCAAGAGTAAGGTTAGATTAAGTCGTGTTAGGTTCGGGTAGTGTTAAGTTACGTTGTGTTAGGTTAGGGCAGTGTTAAGTTACGTTGTGTTAGGTTAGGGTAGTGTTAAGTTACGTTGTGTTAGGTTAGGGTAGTGTTAAGTTACGTTGTGTTAGGTTAGGTAGAGGTTACGTTGTGTTAGGTTAGGTAGTGTTGTTACGTTGTGTTAGGTAGTGTTAAGTTACGTTGTGTTGTTAGTTGGTAGGTTAGAATTTAGTGTTGTTAAGGGATATTGTATAACTGTTGTAAGATCATTCGGGTTGTGTTTGTACTCTTCAGATGTTGTCCTTGATCAGCTGGTGACTAAGGGCGTGGTAATGGTAGAGGTATATGGTGGGGGTGAGATGTGACAAGGGCCGTAGATAATCTTTCACCTATTCTACCTTTGTGTAATCTATTTTATTAGGTTAATTGCCCACGTAACAACAGGTAGTGGATATTGCTCTGTGTGTGTGTGTGTGTGTGTGTGTGTGTGTGTGTGTGTGTGTGTGTGTGTGTGTGTG